TGCAGGTTAGCTGTTCAACACTCGAGAATTATTAATTTTTGTTAATTAATTGATTAGAGTTCTTGCTTTAGAAATTGAAACACTCTAATAATTATATAATAAATATTAAATGTTACAAATAATTATTTAAAATATATATATATATATATAATTTTTTTTTTTGCATTTTAAAGAGATAATTATCAAAATTTATCCTCTTTATAATAGGTATAGATTTTAGATGTATGGAGTAAATTGACTTTTGTGGGTCATAATTATAAATGATAAATTAAATTAAATTTTTAAATTTTCTTTAGTTTTACAATTAATAATAATTAATTTTCAAATTTATTTAGGATTGAAGGTTTTTTTATATCCTTCGTGAATTATTAACCCAATTTTCTATGCATTTATGTATAACTAACATTAAATATAAAAATCACTTAAAGTAAATAGTATATTTAGAATAAAACTTAAATTTGTGATAAAATTATTTAAAAATAATCACATTAATTATTTTTTTGATCTTTATAATTAGGACTAAAGGTAGTATTAAAGAGAAATGTTAGAAATTAAGTCTCTTAACTCAGTGGTTGTAAGATCTGTTCTAGGACAGGGAGGGTCTACCTAGTGCAACCAAGTATGATTCGTGGTTGTGTTGAAATAATATTTCGTGAACAAAAGTCATGTTTCACGAATGTAAATTAGTCCTTAACTATCTGTTTTAAGATACTGCATGAACCATATCCATGGATAAAAAAGAAAGAGAGAGAGGTGTTAGAAACACTTTCTCTAATACACTCTTTTGAACACTCTTTTTAATCTATATATATATATATATATATTGAATTTTTTTTTGATGATATTGCATCCTATTTATTGATGAAAACTATTAGAGAAATGATTATTGTATCTTCTCTATTAGTCTCCTTGATGCTCCTTATCTTCTTCCATGGTGAATCCATGCTTCAAACTCAAAAATGATGGTGGAGATGAGAGATAGAGGCACGTCACTTCCAAGGTGGAAGATAAGCAAGAATGGAAGACCTTGCCACAAGGAAGAATTTCTTGATAAAAGGTCTTAATAAAAAAAACGTCTCCAAGAGGGAACTAAGACTTTTAGAAAAGAGAAAACTCAAGTTTCAATCTCATAAATGCTCTAAAGTGACAAACCAAGCTAGGCTACAAGTATATATAGGGTTTAAGGTAACTTGAACTCAAAAATACTAATCCTAGTTCAAATTCAAAATTCGGCCAAACTTCCTCCAAATATCACTATCTTATATCTATAATGGTCAATGAGAGCTTGCCATGTAAACAAGTAAAGAAAATGTGACTTGTGTCATCATCCTAGATCTAAAAGAGCCAATGAGAATTTTTCATGTGTACAAGCATGTTTGGTATGACTAGACAAAGTTATGTGACTTGTTGGCCACTTGGATGAGCTTGGAGACATGTGGTCCCCACATGTATTAGGCGTCCAAGCCACTTGCTTGAGCAAGTGGATGCCCAAAACATGGGCCCAAATATATGGTTGTTAGTCTATCCAAGCCCGCTCAACATGACTTATACTAGTTGCACTCTTTCTAAACTACTATTTACATCCCTAAAATAAAAACAATTATAAGGACAAAAATTTATATACTACTTGACCAAAATACAAGGTCAAAAATAAAAGAAAAATATTTACAAATAAAAATACACACAAAGAGAAAATGGACTAAGTAACAAGCTTATAGCTTAATAGAAGCTTAGTTCTTCTACCTTTACTTCAAACTCACTCCTCTTGTATCCTCCTTAACATTGTCCTTGTGATAGGTCTAATGCTAGACAAAATGTCATCATTTGTTGATTCTCTCTTCTAATTTTGTAATTTTTAATTATTTCTAACCAATAAGAGAAATTATATCAAGAGTAGTGTGTTTAAATGTCGAATTTGTTTAAGCTATGTTTGAATGTACGAAAAAGTAGATTGAGAATATATATATATATATTAAATGTTTTAAGATACTTAAAAATATATATGAATTTAATAAGTCTGATGCTTTAAAAAATAATTTTATCACATATTCATATTTGTAATTATATATATTTAAATATGTTTTTAGTTCCTAAGTTTTGATCTTAATTCTGATAAAAATTTATGTTCTCATCTCTTAAAAAAAACTCGAATTATTACCTTTGGTTCTAATTATAAGCAAAAAATAGGATTTTTTTTATTATAAACAATAATCATTAATTTTTAAAGTTATTCAAGGTATACTTTATTTTACACTCTTAGTTGTTAACTCTATTTCTTATACATTCACTATAACTAACATTAAATATAACAACTACTTAAAATAAAAGGGCATCTTTGGAATAAACTAAGAATTTATGACAAAATTAATTAAAAACAACCAATTTAATTACTTTCTCTTGATCTTGATGATTTTTCCTATATTACTTATAATTAGGATCAAAGGTAATATTATTTTTAGTCTATATTATTATTTGACACTTATTAATTAAATTGTTTTAAGTAACACCTATTGGTATTAACTAGTTTGTAGACCCGTGGGATGCACGAGAATATGAATATATTAATTAATATAAATTTATTTTAAAATACATAAGTTAATTTTTGAATCTAACAATAAGTTGCAATGAATAAAGATGATTTAATAATTAGTAGTTTGAAACCAAAAAATAAACGTGATTTTGGAACATGTACAAAATATATAAAATTAACCAAATAAATAGCTAACAAGATTAATTATTATGAAATCAATTCCTTAAAAAAAATGTCTTATATCTTATTATACCTCCTTACAAAATGTGCTCTAATTATAGTACAAATAAAAAATTCATATCTATTCTTAACAATTAATTGTTTAAAAAGAAATATTGAATAAAAACGAACCCAAGGAAGAATAACACTACAACATAAGGAGGGGCATAGATTGCAGTTGCATAGAATCCAATGAAGTTCTCAAATGTTAGCTCTCAAAGCAATTATCAAATTATTACCATAATATCTATCTTTTACATTATACATGTTCTTTGATGAAGCACCATTCAACACAAAATGAGCGAGGTATTTTATAATATCTATCTTTCACCTCATGTTCATTATACTATGCATAACCACCAATATGTTTTACACACACACAAAATCAAATTGTAAAAGTTTTTGATATCCTCAAATGTGATCTTAGGTCACTCAATCTATAAAATCTCAATAACCTAACCAAACAAATTACAACCTCAAAAATCTTTAAAATAAAAATGAAATACATTTTTTTTACTTAATGGAATGATATATATTACTTTCTTTCACGTTTTTCACCGATTGTTATCTTCTTCATCCTCTATCACTTATGACTTCACCCACAAATAAGCAATTGCCTTCTATTAGCCTTTGGAGTTTAAGCAATGACGACTTATAACGGTTGAAGTTAATGACATCATATTCTCTCTTTTTTTAACATAAATCTGCACTCAAATAATATACAGTGAAATACATATCAAAATCAAAAGTAATACAATTAGTTTAAGTAAAAATGAAGAGAGGGTTAAACAAAGGTTATTTTGGTTTGTTTATGGTTTATAGTTTGATTGAAAATAGAAAAAGGTGAATGGACAAGAAGTTTGAGAGTTAAAGATGCAGAATGTGAATGAGTGGTTCATTAGGAATATGAACAAATGTAGAATGTGAATGAGTGCTTCATAGGAATATGAACAAATGTAGAATGTGCCTCTTTTTTTTTGTAACTTGAGTGTTTCATTGAGAACATGGATAAATGCAGAATGTGAATGGGTGTAAGTTAAATGCATATCAATTACATTAATGCATGAAAAGAACATATGAAAAATGAGTCTTATTTATATAAAATCAAAGGACTCTTTCATATAAATCATAGAATTGAAAGAGATGATCATTTAAGGAAATATATGTTTTTGGGAAGGAGTAATATTCTCGTGCAAAGATTTACTACAAATGTCATTGTGATTTCATTGTCAAATATATCAAGCATGTATTAATAATTTTTATGATTAATGAGATTATGTGAGAAGAAAAATGATAGAGTGATTACATAATTATACATATCTATAATTATAAAATCAACCTCACATTAGAGGAATGATTTTAAAAGGAAGAAGAATATTGGATGCTTAATAAATTGTATAGAATTAATTTTCAAAGATAGCAATTAATTTTAAATAGACAGTAGAGACTTAATAACCATATCTCAATGTGTATAAGCGTGCAGTAAATAGATAAAAGTGGAAAAGATAAATGAGAATAACTAAAAAGAGAAGAGCAAAAAAATATTATGTGAGAACTTCTTCACTTTATAAGTATATATATATATATATATATATATGTGTGTGTGTTACATTGTCACAATGTGATATTTAAAAAGAAATGGATCTAGAAAATAAATATTATTTATTTATCTTAAAAATAAATTATAAAAACAAAGAGAGAGTGATTTCAAATTTTATATAAAGAAAAAAGTATCAAATTTAAAATAAAAAATCATTTTTTTATAAAGGCTAAAAGTATGTTCAAGACTATATTTATAGTTGTTTTAATTTTCTTTTAAATTACTGATGTTTTACAAATTCAAAGTTCAATTAATATTTTTTCACCTTTATTTTTCTTTAACGGTTTTTATAATGATTTAAAATAAAAATATTTGACTTTAAAATTATAATAGTTTATGTTTCTTATATGTTCTTTAATATGTGTGAAACTATCTTAAACCCCAGTATAAATGAAAGATAGAACTAATATTAAAATATTTTATATTTATTAAATTTAATAATTTAATAATTTTTCATTTTAATATAATAAATATTTTAATCATTCTTAATAGCAACAAAGAAAAGGATGTTAACAAAGGCCTTTTCTTTTACTTACAAATTTAAAAGAAAAAGATTAAATATTCAAACATGTCAAGAATTATATAATTTTAATGGAAGCAATCACTACTAGATTTTAATTTTTTAACAACATTTTTTTCTTACATTTGTTAAAATGTTACTGTATATTGAATAAAAAGGTTCTTTTGTAACATTTTTTTTGAAAAATCTTATTATAGATAAAGTAACATTTTTTATTTTAATATTATTATTTTCAATTGTTTTCAAAATCAAATTCTCATATCAAGTAAAAAAGTGTCACATGGGTCATTTTGCAACATTATTTTTTGAAAAATGTTACTATAATTGTTTTTAAAACCAAAGTCTCACGTCGAGTAAAAAAAGGTATATTTCACTTATCTCTAATTGTTACTCATAATTAAAGTTTCACATCGAATAGATGAATGACTCATAAAGAGTATATATAATTAATCATATAGTTATACTTAAAATGAATAAACTTTGATATTTTATATACAATTAGTGGTGACTAATTAAGAATGTCTTTAATCTTCTCTTAAAATATCTAAATTGAAATTAATTATCATTTTATAAAGTTAACAAAATCTTAGCAATATCATTAAAATGTTACAAAAATATTATTTTGATAACATTTAAAAAATATTGCCTAATTATATAAAAATGTTATTAAAAGTCTTTAATAACATAAGTTATATATAATATTTGATAATATGATGTTAAAACAAATTAATAACATTTATATACAATTAAATAATATTTTTTTAAATATTATTAAAAGTCATTTGTGTTGCAGTGAATTAATGTTGAAAGTGTCATGATACTTTCTTCTCTGCAGGCCTACGTGCAACTGAAGAGGTGAATGATCTTGAGCCACTGAAGATCCAAGGGTTGATATTGCGTCAACCATTCTTTGGTGGAACGCAGAGGAGCGAGTCAGAGTTAAGACTCGAGAATAATCCAGTAATTCCATTGTGTGTTACCGATTTGATGTGGGAGTTGGCACTACCAATTGGTGCTGATCGTGACCATGAATATTGCAATCCATGGTCAGGGAATGGGGTTCAGAAATTTGATAAACTGAAGGAGCTTGGGTGGAGGGTATTGGTGAGTGGAAATGGTGAAGACCTGCTTGTGGATCGTGAGATAGAGCTAGCACAATTGATGGAAGAAAAAGGGGTGCGAGTGGTGAAGGACTTTGTAGAAGATGGGTCTCATGGAGTTGAAATTTTTTACCCATCCGAAGCAAACAAATTCATTGCCTTAGTCAAAGATTTCATTTACATGATTAGTGCTTAGTAAAAATTGTTAGTGTCATAACATGTTACTTTGGAGGAAGATATTATTGTTGATAAACTTTTATTTATTATTAATTGTTTAAGACACTTTATATTTTTATTAAAAATAAATTTAAAATTAAAGTTAAGTAATAAAAATATGTTGATTTAATTAGTATTACAAGTAGTCTAAACCTTAAAATTTTAAAGTTGGTAAAAGTATTAATTTTATTTAATTTTTTTTATTATTAATAAAAAAGTATAATAATCTACTAAAAATAGATATTAATTAAAGTGATTACTAAAAGTATATGCTATTTTATATTTATATATTTATAAAAACCAACCACTTATTATAAATAATAATTTGTAGAAAATTATCTTATATTATTTGTTTATTACATGTTGCTATATATGATAGTTGGAATTAACATAATAGTAATGTTACAACACTATTGTTATGATTTCAATGAACATTAATCATTTCATGCATATTAATTATGTCTGAATTAGAGAAAAAAGAAATAGTTGAGAAATGACTTAAAAAAGAAAGAAAGTGAAATATAGGTGTCTAATTAAAAAGAAATAGGTGAGAAATGAGCAAGAAATAATATATATATATATATAAAAGATGAGAGAAGAATAAATAAGGAGATGTCATCTATCACCTTTTAATTTTTAACTCATTTATTTTTCTTCAATCAAGCAACCTAATTTATTTTTGCTCTTATATTTTTATTTTTTTACTTTATTTTTTTATTCATTTCACGTTAATCGAATAAAGTATAAATGATATAGTTTTATTTAGTTAAAGATGATTTCGCCTATTTAACTTTTGACATCATTAGAAACAGTAATAACTTTTCCTTTTTATTCGAAGCATTTTTTGTGTCACTACAACATAAATAACTTTTAGTAACATCTAAAAAATATTACTTAATTATGTATAAATATTACTAATTTGTTTTAGCAACATATTATCAAATATTGTATATAGTTTATGTTGCTAAAATTTTTTTAATAACATTTTTACTTAATTGTGTATAAATATTACTAATTTATTTTAGCAACATATTATCAAATGTTGTATATAGTCCATGTTACTAAAATTTTTTAATAACATTTTTACACAATTAGGCAACATTTTTCAAATATTATCAAAGTAGCATTTTTGTAACATTTTAATGATGTTGCTAAGTTTTTGTTAACTTCATAAAATGATAATTAATTTTAATTTAAATATTAAATTCAATTATTATATTATTATTATATTTTTTATATATCCTAAACTTCTAGGAGTTCTTTAAGAAAAGATTAAAGACATTCTTAATTAATCACCACTAATTATATATAAAATATCAAAGTTCATTTATCTTAAGTATAACTTTATGATTATATACTCTTTGAATCATTCACCTATTCGATGTGAGACTTTAATTATGGGTAACAATTAAAGATGAGAGAAATATACTTTTTTTACTAGATGTGAGACTTTTATTTTAGAAGCAATTATAGTAACATTTAAAAAAAATGTTGCAAAACAACCTATGTGACATTTTTTTTACTCGATTTGAGACTTTGATTTTAAAAATAATTGAAAAGAATAATATTGAAATAAAAAATGTTACTCTATTTATAATGATTTTAAAAACAAATGTTGCAAAATAACCTATTTATTCAATATATAGTAACATTTTAACAAATATGAGAAAGAAAGTGTTGCTAAAGAATTAAAATCTAATAGTGTGTTTTTGATCCAATTTTATTTAATTTAACTCGTACAAATAGTTTTTTATTTCACTGCCAATATTTTCCATTGTCTTATTCATTTTTAAATTCAGTTTTTGTAGATATTTTGATATAACTTGTTTCAATTAGTTTAATGCCAGTTCTTAGGATATTCATCAATGTATGAATTGAGTGCTACCTCCAATTTTTATTTCACGAGTTCTACTCTTGACTTGTGTTAAAATGAACTCAAGTTATCCAATTCGATTTCTCTTTCCTTTTTTCTTGTAATACTTAATTATGTGTGTACTACATCACTTACTAAACGCCATTTTTTTTTATTATGGAGACAACATCGATCACATCAACTCCCCAAACCTAACTCACTAGATTCATTAAGAATTAGATGTTCATTTCACATTTGGACTTACTTAATTTTAGAAACATTATAACTATTTAGTAAGAATAAAAATGCCATTAATTGAATGATAGAGAGAGAAGAGAAGAAGAAAATTTGTAAAATGTGTAACTGATTCTTATTGCTTTTTAGTGGAGCAAAGCCACTTATTTATAGAGTAAAGACACCTATAACAAAGTAACCATCCGAGAGTTAGTTTTACAACTGCTCTCTTTATAGTTCACTCACATACCCGTCACAAACCTAAGTTGGGTGAGCAGTAGAGGATAGCTCAACAACTTTGAGTTTGTCTCTCGAAAGTAAAAATCTAGCAGATGATAAGGGTTTTCTTAATGCATCAGCCCATTGATCTTGAGTTAGAAAATGTTGAACACTGAGTTTCTTGGCAAGAACTTTCTCTGTAGCAAAAAAAAGATTGATCTCCATATGTTTGGTCCTAGAAAGAAGAACAAGGGTGTGAGCTAAGGAGACCGTGCTTTGATTGTCACATTAGATAATTGGAATAGAGAAAGGAATTCCTAATTCATGAAGAAGAGTTTCAATCCATAATACTTCAATAGTTGCTTGAGCCAAACTTCGATATTCAGCCTCAGTACTTGATGTAGCAACTATAAGTTGTTTTCTAGACCACTATGAGATTAGATTAGGTCCAAGAAAAGATAGTTGCACCAGATGTTGACCTTTTGTCATTAGGATCAACAACCCAATCAACATCTCAAAATGCATGTAGCTGAAATGTTTGACGAGTTCCAACAGCCTTAAGGTGTAAACCATGATTTAATGTATCTTTAAGATACCTTAAAATCCTTTTTACTGCATTCCAGTGACTCTGAAGAGGATTGGCCATAAATTGGCGGACTTTATTGACAACAAAACTTATTTTAGGTTTGTTTATTGTGGCATATTGCAGTGCTCCAACAACTGACCTGTAGAAGGTAAAATTAGTCAACGTATCAGACCCATGCTTAAATAACTTGGAAGTAGAAACCTTAGGAGTTGAAATAGGTTTGGCTTCAAGCATGTTGGTTTTCTGAAGAATGTCACGAATATATTTGCTCTGTATAAGGAGAATAGAACCATTTTGCTGGTGTTTGACCTCTATTCCCATAAAGTAATCCAACTTGCCAAGATTCTTTAGAGAAAATATAGCATTAAGTTGACAAATAAGGTGTTGAGTAAACTAAGATGAACTTCAAGTGATGATAATATCATCTACATAGAACTAAAGATAGAAAACATTGTCATTTATGTGATAAATAAAAAAGAGAAGGATCACATTTGCTAGCCTTAAACCCAAACTATAGCAGAGTAGTTTGAAATATGTCAAACCATTGCCTGAAAGCTTGTTTCAGGCCATATAAGGATTTGTTCAACTTGCAGACCATAGTAGAGTCAGTCTCAAAACCTGGTGGTTGCTACATATAAATAGTTTCATTAAGCAGACCATTTAAAAAGGCATTATTAACATCTAATTGATGAATTTCCCAATTATTTGTAATAGCCAAAGTGAGAATCAATCTAATAGTCATAGGTTTAATGATAGGAGAGAATGTTTCATTGAAATTAAAGCCAGGTTGTTGATGAAATCCTTTAACCACCGATCTGGCTTTGTACCTGTTTATAGTACTATCAGGATTTTCTTTAATTTTGAAAACCCACTTGCAACCTATAGCTTGCCTGTTTTCTGGAAGATTAACAAGTGTACATGTACTATTGTTAATCAAAGCATTATATTCCTGTTGCATAACTGCTAACCACTTAGGATCCTTCAAGGCTTGCCTAACACTCTTTGGTTCAAATTCAATGAGAAAGATAGAAAAATGAATGTTGGGTTTTGAAATACTAGACTTAGATCTGGTTTGCATAGGATGAACATTCTTAGATGTGATAGGTGTGACACTCTCTACCCCAACATTAATACACAATAAATGTAAATGATTTTTTTTTATTTTTCTTTCTAAGTAAATAAAATCTTTCATAGTTGATAACATCTTTCATGGATAAAACAAATGTCTCATATATCATAAGGTAGAAGATTAATATTAGTAAATAATAAATAATAAAAAGTTAAAATGTAAGTATCAAAACTCAAGAAATCATATAAAAATAATAATAAAGGAAAATATAGATTAATTCTAGTAAAGGTGACAGTGCCTCCTAGTTAGGAATTAATTTATAACTTCCAAATCATGTAATAAAAATATAACAAAGATGCACACTTTGGCCTTTCATCAAGAACATTCAAAATTTACAATTCTCCACATACACTCACTATAGGCTTTATCTACGTTATACCATCGCTAGAAATTACAAAAGAAAAGAAACCAAGGTTTTCAAAACAATAACATCCTGAACTAAGCCTAGTTATGCCCCGATGTCACATATCCTACCAGATTCCAACCTGAAACCTTAAGTCTCATCACCGACATCCCCATGATGATGATCACCTGCAACACAATTTAAACATGTACAAGAATAACAAGGGAGTGAGAAATATCTCACTCGATTCCAGGTGCAGAAATAAAGGTTAGATAGCAGACACATACACAACAAACATAAGTCACATGTAAATAATACACATACACAATCAATATCACATATACACTCATTTATAATCCAATGATGTCATGGACTCAACTCATAAATGCATGCATGTGGCGCCATACGGAAGTTTCACATTTCTCATAGCTTGTTACATCACTGGTGACCCTAAGGTACACCTTGTTAGCTTCTTACATCACTGGTCATCCTAAGGTACACCTTGTTAGCTGCTTACATCACTGGTGACCCTAAAGTACACCTAAAATATTTCAGTACATTACTAGTATGCGGCCTAAGCGACACACCTGAAATAAGTTATTTCATCATATAGCTTGTTACATCACTGGTATGCGGCATAAGCGGCACACCAAGCATTGATAGGTTCGTTGACGGAGCATCTGGTCACGCCCTCCTCAACTTTCTGAACGCATACTCTAGATACAATCAGATTATGATGTACCCACTGGACGAGAAGCACACGTTCTTCATCACCGACCAAGCCAACTTCTACTACTGCGTGATGCCTTTCGGCCTCAAAAATGCGGGAGCTACTTATCAAAGGCTGATGGACAAGGTCTTCCACCAGCAGATCGGACGAAACATGGAAGTTTACGTAGACGACATGGTCGTAAAAACCACATGGCCGACACCCATGTTGCGGACCTAGCTGAGGTATTCAACTAGATACGAAAACACAACATGCGCCTCAACCTTGAAAAGTGGGTCTTTGGGGACCAGAGAGGTAAGTTCCTCGGCTTCATGATCACCAAAAGATGGATTGAGGCCAACCCAGAAAAGTGCAAGGCCATCATGCAGATGTAGAGCCCCCAAAATGTCAAGGATGTCCAATGCTTGGCAAGAAGGTTAGTCTATCTCTCTCGCTTCATCCCCAGGTTGGCAGAAAAAGTAGGACCTATCTTCAATCTACTGTGAAAACCTAAGCATTTCGAGTGGACCGACCAATGTGAAGAGTCGTTCAAGAGCTTCAAGGGTTTCCTTGCCACCCCGCCGGTCTTGCAAAAGCCGAACCATCACGCTGACCTCCTCCTTTACTTGGATGTGGCAGAGGACGCCATCAGTATGGTCATAGTACAAGAACACCACAAGAAACAAATTCCCATATACTTCATCAGTTGCGTCCTTCAAGACACAGAAAAGCGGTACCAAATAATTGAAAAGCTGGCATTGGCACTCATCACGGCAGCATGATGCCTCCGACCTTATTTCTTGAGCCACCAGGTCGTCGTCAAGATCGATTACCTGATTAGGCAGATATTAAGAAAGCCAAAGCTAGCAGGACGAATGATTTCATGGTCGGTAGAGTTGTAGGAGTTCGGCATTCGATATGAATCCCGAGGACCCCTAAAAGCTCAATGCTTAGCAAACTTCGTGGTTCAGCTCACTCCGGCCTCATCACTGGAATGTCCAACCTGGACCCTACACGTTGACGGGTCCTCCAATGCTAAAGGAGGACGCGCATGAATCATACTCGAAGGCCCCAACCAGGTCATCATTGAGCAATCCCTCAAATTTGGTTTCCCAATCACTAACAACCAAGCAGAGTACGAAGCATTACTAGCGAGATTGAGGTTGGCACGAGATATCGGAGCACAAAGGGTAAGTTGCAACAGCGACTCGAAGCTCATGGTAGAACAGCTCAGCGGGACCTACCAGACCAAGGACGCCCTACTACAAAGGTACTATCACACCGTGTCCCCATGGACCTCGTCTTTTGAGGAGTTCACCATACATCATGTGCCCCGAGAACAAAATGTCAGGGTCGATCTCATGTCCAAGCTCGCTAGTACAAAGCACCCTGGACAGCATCAAACCATCATTCAAGAGACCATCAACTCCCCCAGCTTGGACGCCAAGGTCATCGACGTCAACGACGTTGAAGATAAGGAGTGGATGACCAACATCTGGAACTACTTACAGGACGGGACAGTACCTAAAGACAAGGATGAAGCTCGGAGAACCAAGGTAAGGTCGTCCTAATTTTTTATTGTAACAAGAGACCTCTTCCGAAGAAGCCTCTCAACCCCCTTGCTCAAGTGCCTAACAAAGTCTCAGGCAAGTTACGTCATTGATGAAATTCATAGAGGCATCTGCGGCATGCACTCCGGCACATGCTTCATGGTAGCACGAGTAATCTGAGCTGGATATTACTGGCCCATGCTAAAGTCCGACTACAAAGATTACGTACAAAGGTGCAAAGAATGTCAGCAGTTTGGCAACGCACATCGGCAGCCACCCAAAGTCCTCCACAAAATGGCGTCCCCATGGCCCTTTGCCTAGTGGAGAATGGATATCCTCGGACCATTCCCCGTCGCGAAAGGCCAGTTAAAATTCCTCCTCTTCGCTGTCGACTACTTCACCAAGTGGATCTAAGCTTGCCCACTCGCCAAAATCATCACCGAGAACGTGCAAAAGTTCACCTAGAAGAACATCATTTGCAGGTTCGACATTCTACACTCCCTCATCACCGATAATGGCAGGCAATTCATCGCACAGAACTTTGAGACTTTCCTCCAAGAGCTCGGTATCAAGCACCTCCCCACCTCGGTGGAACATCCCCAAACCAACGGCCAAGCCGAAGCTACAGACAAGGTCATACTCCAAGAACTTAAAAAGAGACTAGGAAATGCCAAAGGACAGTGGGTTGACGAGCTCCCCAACATTCTCTAGGCATATCATTGCACTCCCCCAATCCACGACTCAAGAAACTTCTTACAGGTTGACCTACGGAGCCAACGCCATGATCCCAGTCAAAGTCGACGAGACATCTCATTGGCGTCACACCTTTGATAGTGAGCAAAACACTCAAGAAACAACAACCAACCTTGACCTAATAGACGAACTCGGAGAGGAGGCTCGGATTGAAGAAGAAGCTTGCAAACTCCGCGCCTCTAGAAGGTACAACAAGTGAGTCTGACCTCGCTCTTTCCGAGTTGGAGATCTAGTGTGGAGACTACAAGGCGAAGCAAGGAGAGACCCATCAGAAGGGAAACTCGCATCTAATTGGGATGGCCTGTTCCGAGTAACCGACGACCTGGGAAATGGGACATACCGACTAGAAGAACTCAACGACAAAACCATCCCAAAAACTTGAAATGCCACTCACCTCAAGGTTTATTTCAGCTGAATTGTACAAATGGGTTGTTGCACTCTTTTCCCTACTCAGTCTTTTGTCCGAAAAAACAAAAAAAATGGGTTTTGGCTGAGAGGGTTTTTAACGAGGCACACCCACCACATCAATAAGAATGACTCACTTTACTTATATTTTTTCAACCTCACACTGTCTAATTCATATTAAGCCAAGGTCGAATTCGAACCTCGGCTACACGATCCATATTTTGCTAAGCCAAGGTCGAGTTTGAACCTTGGCACAATTTATATTAAGCCAAGGTCGAGTTCGAACCTTGGCACGATTTATATTAAGCCATGGTCGAGTTCGAACCTTAGCATGATTTATATTAAGTCAAGGTCGAGTTCGAACCTTGGCATGTTTCATATTAAGCCAAGGTCGAGTTCGAACCTTGGCACGATTTATATTAAGCCAAGGTCGAGTTCGAACCTTGGCACGATTTATATTAAGCCAAGGTCGAGCTCGAACCTTGGCACGATTTATATTAAGTCAAGGTCAAATTCAAACCTTAGCACGTTTCATATTAATCCTAGGTCGAATTCGAACCTTGGCACGATTCGTATTAAATCAAGGTCAAATTTGAACCCTCGCGCAAAATATGTTACTAGTCAAGTTTGAACCTTAAGGCCAAACACGAGCCCCAACGCGAAAATCAAAGGTCAAGTTTGAATCTCGAATGCTTAAAGCAGAAAATCTCTTACCAACAATAGTGAGAAAAGCAATATATGTATATGGCAAATTAATTCATTCAAAAATAATGAGTTCAATACAACACCAAAGGCAAATAAAATAAGCTATGTCTATTACAACAAAAAGCGGAAATAAAGGCTTAAGCAGCAGTATCCTCGCTAACACTCTTAGACAGGTCATCCTCATTCACCAATTTCCCATCTTGTACATCCTTGTCAATGTGCATCAGCGAGAAGTCCACCATGGGAGCAATCAATCGGGCCTGGCGAGCCGCCTTGGCAAATCCTCTCTTATGTTCAACTATAACGGCGCACTCAGTTTCATGAAGAGTCTTCTCCACTTCTTTCTTTGAGGAAGACAACACCTCAAGATCCAACTTCAAGGAACTTACCTCCTTGCCTTTGCCAACTAGAAGAACCTCATCACAAATATGTTTCTCTTCGGCCGCCTGTAATTTGGCTCTCAAGGCAACATTCTCCCCTTCCAGCAGTCGCACTCGACCCGACGCAACCTCAGCCATGCCCTTGGCTGACTTCATAGCTTCAACCAACTCGCCCACCTGGGTGGCATAGGCCTCATTGGCCTTCATAGCAACCTCCAACGACTTTTACGACTTGGAGAAGTCCTTCTTCAAAGTTAGAAGCTCCCCTGCGCCCCTTCGCGCTCTCTCTAGCTCGGTCTCATGCTTCTGCCAATGTCGTTTCCAATGATCCACAATGGCGATCGACCTTTGCATGAAGACCTCCTTCAAGTCCAGGCCCTCCACTAGCCCCACCTTTTCTATCATGGCCTTTTCGGCCACGAATGCCGGATCCTCCTTATAGAATGCCTCGGCGATGAGGTTAGCGCTCCATAATGATGTCACATCGGGAGTAATGTTGACGTGGTCCAACCTCGCCAAAGGCCGGCTCACGTCGAAGCGCTGGACAATGCACCTCGACTTCAAACCGAGGAAGCACTAGGGTTCGCTGAGGTAGGGGTCAGAAGGGCCGTTGTTGGAAGCGGGAGAGCTCGGACCTCCTCTGCTAACCCCGACCAAGGCTGATGTCAGAGTCGCCTACGACAATATCATACATCTCAATATTTTTTCTAAGTTACACATGAAAAATGTAGAAAGCAAATAAACCAGTATAAATGCAATACATGTGTTAGCGGAATGGCCTCCACCACGAATTTCCTCAATGGTGACTCAACCCAAGGACTTCCGGTCAGATCAATTGTACCAGGAGGATTGGTGATCTTCGAAGTCACCTCTTCCAAAACTACAAGATTCGAGGCTTCCCCAACCTCGTCGAGCCCCTTTTTCCTCTTAAGCCAAGTATCTAGAGGGGCGACCTCCTCACCAGGCTCGGGCACCTCGAGCTCCTCGGTGTTGAACTTTGCCTTGAGCTCGCGCCATTTACTCTTCCCCATCAACTCGGCAAACAAACATGGCAAACACAATGATTAGGACAACAACACAACTTAGAAGAAAAGCAATAAACATAATACCCAAATACTCACGCTTCAACCCCCTTTCTTTATTCCTCAAACCTGCCATGGACAACACGAGTTTGCTATCCAAAGGGTGCAAAAACTCCTCCAGGTCGGCAATGTCATCCTTGTCTGAGTCCGATAAACGTATACAGCTCGTCTCGTTAAACTTCACTAGCCTCTACTGCCAGAAGAAAGGGAACCTCGACTCCCTCCCAAAATGGAAAACCTCCTCGGTCATCAGATTATTGTTTATAGGTCGGATTCGAAAGAACTCCTCCTTAAAGTTCTTATAAGATTGGGAGTAAAGTTGGAATAACCCCCCAGCCTTACTCCCACTCAGAGAAACCCAACCTAGAGGCGGCTCACCCAACTTAAGTTGGTAAAAATGAAGAAAGACAGAAAGTGACTTCCTCATCCCTAAGGCCGAGCATAAAACTTCGAAGGCCCGCAAAAATCTCCAACTGTTAGGATGCAACTGACAAGGGGCCACATTTACAAACCTCAAAAACCCACACTCGAACTCGGTGAAGGGCAGGAAAACACCGAGGTCCCTAAATAAATAGCAGTACATGTAGAAGAATGGGGAGTTCACAGTACCCGCCATATACACACGCTCTCCAGGTTGGCAAGGCTCAACCCGGATGAGCTCGGAAACAGGCAACCTACTAATCACGAGTGAACTGCACGCAGAGTTCACATCGTGATAAGACCTGAACCTACTCTCGAAGGTACCCACATCTCCCCTAACCCACTCATACCCAGGAACAGAGATGGTGGGGTGTGAATCCTTGGGGTTATTACCCCCCTCCTTCTCTTTGGCTCGCCGTCAGCGGCGGCCACCTTCGCCTTACCCTTCCCCTTAGCCTACCCAGAGGCAGCCCTAGGGGGAATCGTGCCCTGACCACCCTCACCGGCCATCGCTCAGTATGCTACTAGCAAAAGGAAAAATGGGAATGAAGGAGAAGAAGTACCTAGTACTCCTTGGACACTGATAACACACTAGGCGTCAACGGCGATCAACTGTGAACACGTTGCTGAAAGCGACGATGGAGAAGAAGAACGGAGTGGGAAGGGTGTAGAGCAAAAGCTACGCGCGAATGGGAAACCAAATGCACAAGGAAAAAGAGCCCAAATGTTTAAAATGTGGAAAACGACAAAAGGGAGGTAGAGCATTAAATGAAGCTCATAATGACAGGGTGCATCCCATCATTACAAGCCGCCACCCTTCATTACAAGCCGCCCATGCATTTCGGGAAACGAGGCGACACTTTATGACACATGGCGTTTTGCCCAAGAAGTAGAGACAAAGAGTCGCGACCCCCCACCAAACTCGGCATCAGCTCCTCAACACGAGGTCTTCAGAGCTCGGGGGGCTAGTGTACTATCCGTGTCGAGAGTCGAGCTTGATCTCGATACTAAAGCACTAAATGACATCGGATATACGCCACATGACATCGACTAGAGCTAAGGCCCACTATCTACCGGGCCGAGGTCAACCTCAGGCCCAAATCAACGTTACCCTCGCATAAGAGAAAAACCCTAATTCACATCAAGGCACGTGCACTACATATATGAGACGATTACACTATCAAAGACTAACTTTAGCATCAGAGTCTCTTTTGTAGGTACCACCCTCACTTCGGAGCAACTGACGTACCCAGCAAAGAAGGCTCACTAATCTTGC